GTACCTATTGGACAATGGCTGGCTGAATCCGCCCTGCAGGGAAGTGACTCTCAGACCACAGACATCCAGAGGCTAGAGGCTTGGCTTCTCACTGACCCAGATTGAAACCGTTGGGAGATGTCACTGTCCTACTTCTCAAGGCAGGGGCTGAATGTTGACAATTGTGCCCCAAGGACTGGACAGAGAAGTGACACTACACCCACCTAAAGCCTCCTGCAAGTGCTGAGCACCCTACTCAGCTCCTCCCTCTACCTGGAAGGGACCACAGGGGAGACGGCACATCACCCCTCTTCTAGAACCCAGCACCTGCACGCTACAGAAAGCTTGGTCAGAATCCCACCCAGAACATCAGAAATTCCTGCCTGCCACCACATCTACATGGCAGATCCAAAGACACACAATCCCAGCCTTGGACCTCCCTCTTCCACTGCTGAACAGGGGGATTCTGGTTACTGTAGTTGGAGTTTCTCTGTCCTACCCTGGCCCGTAGCCACTTCCAAATAATCACCCAGAGGGTTGTATTAATTATAAATGCTCGACCAGTAGCTCAGGCTTATTACTAACTAGCTTTTACACTTAAAGTAACCCATAATTTTTATCTATGTTTAGCCACATGGCTTGGTACCTTTGCTCAGTAAGATGTTCTCATCTTGCTTCCTCTGTGTCTGGCTGGCAACTCCTGACTCTACCCTCTCCCATCATTCTCAGTTTGGCTTTCCCACCTAACTTCCTGCCCAGCTACCTGCCTGTCAGCTTTTTAATAATCAATGACAGTAATACATATTCATAGTGTAGAAAAGGATTGTTCCACAGCAGGTTACACCAAGAAAGGACCCAAGAGTCACTTCTAGCCACATCCCACCTCTGGTGCCTGAACTGGCAGTCTAAACTGACCCAGCATTAGCACCCCTCCCAGGAAGCACAGCATGCTTCAGGCATGTCCAAGTCATACCCCATGAGTCACATGAAACCAAAGATAGTTATGAATGCAGCCCAACACAAAATTATGAACTTGCTTAAAACACTAAGTTTTTTGTTTAATTTTGTATATAACTCGGCTGTATGGTTCTTGGGCACAAACTTTGCTAAGGACGTCTATGTCACATTGTCAAAGGTTGAACAGTGGGGCCAGCAAGATGACTGAGCAGGTAAAGGTGAAGGGAGAGAACCAAAGGGGTTCTCTGGCCTCCACGTGTGTGCTGTGGCATGTGCACCCCAACACACTCATGCACACACATGTAAATCAAGCATACACATGTTCAATAATAATAATTAATAATGATTTTAAAAGTTGATCTGCCTCTTACATCCTTGGACGGTGAGGCCAGTCCACTTTCCGATGTTTCTAGATGACAGGAGCTAAGAAGCAGGCGGCTCGGTGTTATTCTAGGAAAATGACTCAGCCAGCCTACTTTTACAGCCTGTGCAGGGAGGGTCCTGGTACACCATGGCCTTTGTGGAATCAATGGCAGAAATATTAGCTGTCACTTTCCAACTGACTGGAGCAGCAGGGGCACCACATGTGCCCCGATGGGTCCCCATTTGTCATCTTAACACACCATAAAAAATAAAACAGTGACATTCTGCCCTCAGGGTGTGTCACCCCATGCTGAGGGCAGGTTTCAGGGTCCAGGAAGGACATTGAGTAGCTATAGCCACCAAGGCAGGAGTGGTGTGTGCTTGTCTAACCTGCATCCACAGTCCTTACCCCCAGTGGGGACTCTGTCTGGTTCCCAGGTCGCTCAGGCTCTCTTCCGTGAGCATGCTGGTCCTGGGGCTGTGACTGAGGGACCATGAGGCTAGGGCTGGGCTGCAGTGACCGCATTGGGTAAGGGAGGGTGGGTGCTGCCCAGCACCTCACAGATCCTAAGACTTGCTTATTGAATAAATTCATAGAGCCATCAGCTGACTGACTGACCATCCCAGCTCCTGGATAGGATTCCAAATACCTGCTTGCTGGTCTGGAGGGGCACGCCCATGATGGTTGGAGGGGGGGGGGCAGACAGCTGTCCAATCCTGACACCCCATCACCATGCTGAAGCCAGCAAGGCTTGGGGAGGCCCTTGCTCCTAAGCAGCTGCTCCCCCACCTGACTTCTAGCTACTCTTCTCCACCCACCCTGACCTCCCTTGGAGTCCCAACTCCAGGTCCCATTTCAGGCTTCTGGAAATGAGTTGTTTCCAGCAGTGTCTGCTTCCAGACTCATTGATTTTAGCCTTTGTTGTCCTAGCTTCCTGTCAGAACCGGTTATTGCAGGTGATGGATAGGAACTCACCCTGCACTAACCTGCCTCTTAAAAGCTGCCCATGGCAGATGTAGCACACAGCCAATGGCTCAGAGAAGGCTGTGGGGCGTGGGAGGCCTCTCTCTTCACTCCCCAGGGGGCAGGTGGGCTGTGGACCCAGCAGGCTTGGGTCTAGCTAGCCATGTTTTTCCCACGCCTCCTGGTGTGGCAGCCCAAAACCCACCACCTGCTCTGAGACCTTGTCCAGCTCAGCACCCCCAGCATGAAACTGATGAGCAGACCCTCAGTGGCCCCGCCTCCCTAGCTGTTCTGGAGGCTTCCATGGCTGAGTTTTATGGTGAAGTGATGGAAGGAGACCAGGGTCTTCCTGAGCTCCCAGCTCTGGTCAGTAGAGGCGTTGGCTGCCCTCAGGTTTGCCCACGTTCCATCCACTCCTCACTTCTGAATCTGTACCCCAGGACAATCCTGAGAAGCAGACCAGTGTGGGGCACTCATGATGTAATCTGCTTGAGGAACTGGCTCACAGGTTTGTAGGGCATTCAAGTATGAATTTGGGGGAACAGGCCCCAGGCTGGAAACACTCAGGAGTAGAGGTTGCAGCTGGAGCCCAGATACCATCTAGAGGTAGTCTCCTCCCAAGAGACCTATCTGGCCCTCGTCTTCCCCCCGCCCCACAAGCCAGGCCCACCCATCATAGACAGCAACTCACTCAAAGCCCTTTGGCCAGAAGTTAAGCATATCTGTGAACCATCCTGTCTCCACAGCAGCAGACAGATGTGTTTAAACAAACTGTGGACCAACCATGGGAACAGCTACCTGTATGTGATGCCAAGGTCCTACCCTTTACCAGCAGGGTCTCCAGGCAAACATCCACGTAGATTTCCTGAATGCAACTGCTCTGTGAACTCTTCACTATGGGGATGGCTCTGAACTGGGACCTCCTCCAGAGGCAACTGAGTGGTCAGGTGCAGAGCTGAGATCTGGAGTACTGGCTGACATGTAAGGAAGGGGGTCCAGACTTAGGCTCAGCTATGGCTGTGACTGGTGATCTTGTGAGGCCGTGGTATAGTGAGTAGCTGTCCTGTCTATGACCTTGAAGCACCTCCCCTAAAGATGCAGCAGGTAACTGCTCCACCTGCCATGACCTTGAAGTACATGCCCCTTGGGCGTGGCCTCATAGACCCTTTAGAACTGAGACGTACATAGAACTGAGATGTACATAGGCAGGTTTCTTCTCTTGCTCGTGGTTTTTGGAGACTGGACTGAGTCAGGCAGCCGGAACAGCATTCCAGAACCTGTGACTATTCTGTTATGTATAGTGAGTTTTCCCGCTAATAAATTCCATTACCCATTACACAGACTCCGTGGATTTCTCATTATACCATGGTGTTCTTATCCCACCCTGCAGGTGACAAGGTTGAGGCCAACAGATGTGCTATGCAGGCTGAAGCTGCCCTGCTACTGGGCAGAGGCATCAAGGTGACAAAGACCCAGCTGGAGATCCTGGTGCATCTGGGGCAGCATCAACACCACGCTCCACTTCTTGCCCAGCCTGGCTCACTGTATTTGTTGATGGTAACCGAAAATCAAAGAAACTCATCAGTCCAGGAAGTGCCCGAGCTGGGCATCCTCACGTGTGGGCACAGCTGGCTGTCCACTCCCATGTCCCCGAGCTCAGCAGCCTTGGGCATCCCCACATGTGGGCACAGCTGGCTGTCCACACCCTACAGCATCAGCAGAGGTACAAGACCCACAACTTCAGGGATCAGGTTGTCCCCAGACAAGGCCGTCTGGCAACTGCCCTCAATCTGTAGTCTCTGTGATGCCAAGGGCAGGGAGGGGGGCTGTGTCCACTCCATCTGTCCACATTCCTGTCTGAGGTGGGGAGTCACGGGGACTGGAGGCTGCTTTGCAGCAGGGTACCTCAGGGCCCAGGCCTCCCCTGGCCCACAGCCCAGCAACCCAACTCTCTCATCTGCTTCTGCAGTCAAGTCCAGGGCTGTCCCCCTGCCCAAGGCAGGACTATGTGGCTAATGCTTTCCACACCAAGAGAAGAATATGGTTCTCGCCACCCTCCCTAGAGAGAATAGGGGGGAATGAGACATGAGGATCGGCTAGTCATAGCTGTGAGTGCTACTCTAGCTCAAGACTCAAGGACTGCCCCACCTCCAGAGCAGAAGACAGCCCACCACAGGCCCAGGCATGGAGGAACCAGAGAGGCAGGGACGTATGAAGGGAGAAAAGGGCTCTCACGGCCTCCCAAGGCTGTGGGTCACACCGAAGACAGTCCAACACAGGAAGCGCAGGCTTTAAAAACATTGAACCTCTTAACAGCCGAAGCCTGTGGTCAGGCTGGAACCACTGCAGCTGCAGCCTCAGCATGGGCATGCCAGAAGCGGCACTGTGCCTGGAGGACTTCAGGAAAACGGCACGCGGCTTCTTTGGACTCTAGGAGCCTCTTTGAAGGCAGCTTACACGCCTGAGTGGACACGGGGGCTGTTGGCCAGGAAACACAAGTCCCTGGGAAGGAGAAACGTGCACCCACGGGCGTAAGGGCACCAGGAGCCTTGGCGACGGTGGCCTGGGACAGAACTGCTCATCACCACCGCTCAGTGCTGTTTCCTTCTCTCCCTGCAAGACGGGCAGAGAGCGCCACAGCTCCAGCCTCAGGAGCAGTCTCACAGCCGGAGGGCAGCAGGCCCCCACTCTAACACCCCAGCCGGAGGAACCCCAGAAAACACCAGAAGAGACTCTGTAGAAGTGAAATGCTTCATTCAATAACTTAAAAAAAAAATGGATACAAAAGAATTCCAGTATAAAATACATAGCAAATTAAAATATATTATGTTCATACTAAATCTGGTAAGAAAAACATAATTTTATCATTGGGGATGACTGGTACAACACAATTTGTTCTAGACGGTGACGGCCTGAGAGGCGTGAGGAGTCACATAGCCTTGTGTGTGCCGTGGGCAGAGTGGGGTCACGGCTGTGGCCACCTGGAGGCCACATTCCCTCACAGGATTAGTCCCAGCTTAACTGAGGTGTTGTGCCATGACCAGGAACACCACCTCTCTCCAGTCAGCCAGCTCCACGGGCCGTGCAGGCCCGTCCTGAGTCACTGAGACGGCAAGGCTAGAGGGTCTGCAAGGAGGGGCACTCGGAGTGGGCACTGGCCACACAGCGGTCCCTCACTGGTAGAGCACCTTCACACAGAATGCCTCTTCGTTCTTGTCCTCGTGGTCATTGATGTAAATCAGGATCTCCTCCTGCCCGGTACTACCACTCGGCCCAAACCTCAGGCCGATGGTGTAGGTCTCTCCTCCCGCCACCTGCAAGGACACAGGAACTTCAGCATTCGCCTGGGCTCCCACCCTTCTGTAGCAGCTTCTAGACCTGTGAGGCAGGCCGGCACGTGGGTGAAACCCTCTCCACCTACGGCACATCCAGGCAGGCTGGAGACCCAGCACCTCACAACCTGACAGAGGCTGTGAGGGCCAGGCTAGCCCACATAGGCCTAAGGCGGCGGCGGCTGCTGCTGCTGCTGCTGCTGCTGC